GCAGAGGCTCAGGAGGATCAAATTTAATCATGTTTTTTTGCTAAATGATTAGTAAAACTCTTTTCTCTCTCCTTAATCAATGCAGCTGTGTAATGCTGGTTGCTATATTTTAAACAAGCATGTGAGCTAGGGAAATGGTTTAGGATTTGCTTCCCTCCTAAGAGATCTGTTTCCATCTGGTGTCCTCTGGATGCGAGGAAGAAGTCATGTTTCAGGTGTTTATTGGAAAACTCTGGAGAAACCACTCCATTGTTTCATAGCCAGGTCATACTACAAGATTATTCACTGAGTAAGTTTGGAAAATTGCTTAAAATGTTTACACAGATCCAGGAAAAGTTTGTTTTTGCTCTAGTTATATATAAAAGCCCAGTTCTGTAGGAAGTTCAGGATTGTGGTGATGGTCTGATGAGGATTATGATCTGCTGAATAAATCATCTTTTTGATAACCTGTTCTACTGTAGATATGTTAAACTTATCCCATAATAAACACTAATACTAATAAAAACTATAGATTTTTAGTTCCTTTGTATAAACATTTAGCAAATATTTTCTAACACTTCACCCTAAATAACTGTTCCCATTTTCTTCAAGGTGATCCAAACCTACCAGATCCTGTGTTTTGACAAATCCTCCATGAAGGCAATTTCCTCAAGTACCTTCTTGACACCGCTGGATTCCAGCATCTCAATGCAAATCTGGGGGAAAAAATATAATTTGTTATTATTTGTGCAAACATCTAGAAAGGATTTTTATCAAATATATCAAACAAAAAATAATGATGGGTAACAAAGTATTGTGAAGATGAGAAACATTGAAAATAGCCTGTAGATTCAAAAACACTTTATTCAAGAAATAAAATATCTATTCAGTTTATAGGGTGTTGATTAAGTCTAAGCTAATTCCTTTTACTCACATTTACAAACTTTTTTCTTATAGCATCACAAAACTTTTTGTTAATTTGTTTCAAATAGGATTTTATTGTGATCATTTAAAAAACGACCATAAACAACAGTAAAAAATATCATTTATTCCTAAAAAGCTTACAGATCGCCCCACATGAATGATATATGCAAGTGAATGGCAAATATCCGGCTATTTAGAATGCATTAATGCGAAAGCAGTTGAACCCAATATGACCATGAGTAGAAGACTGGTAACAAATAAATTTTGGAAATTGACAGATGGAAAAACCAATAACTTCTTCTCCTATACTTAAAGTTTTATTATTTTTTCTTATAGGATTCACAGCACTGAATGTGCTTTAGTACATAGGGAGTTTTTTTTTTCTTTTATGTTTTGTGTGAGTCTTTCTAAAACCAATAAATGAAAAATAACTTAATGGTTCTGCATAAGTGGGTTACTGTAATGTCAGCTTAGCTTTTTAAAATAAAAAGGGGGAATAAAAGGTCAAATTTAAACTGATTTAATGATTACCCGATATTTCAGAACCTTTAAACCTCCTAAATCTCACTATGCTGTCACACAACTTTTAAAATGTACCTCAACAGCAACTATTTTGTTTTTCTTCTTCACATAACACAACTTTCTTATTCAATTGCTCTATATGATTCATGAACAGTTGCAAGAGAATCTGGCTGCAGATCTGCACTGTCAGGACCCAGGCCTGCACTTGCAGGACCCTTCGTTGCAGACCTTCAAAATGGGGTCTCGTGCACTGTTAGAAGCAAAAGTTTATTCAAGAAGTTGTATTTGAAGCCTTTGGGAATAGCACACATCACATGTTTGCTACCAAAGTTTATAACAGTGTTAAACTGAGCATAGGAGCAGTTTAAATTATACAGAAAGCAAAAATCCTCATAGGATAGCCAACCTTCGTTGTTGTTTAGAAAATGTCTTATAAACCAAATGCCCTTTTCCATCCAGCGATCCAAATACAGAGACTTATTTCAATGTAGCAATGTGGTGGGGAGTAAAATTGTGTGTGCACACAAGTTTCCAGCATAACAACCCTTGTTTGTAAAAGGAAGCTAGCTTAACGTAGAGTTTATCGATGCTATCTTTTACTTTAGAAAGGCTTCCAATCAACTTCGCTTTTACTTTTAATGTCTTCGAATAAACTTTGGCTACAGTGCAGAGACCTCACAGTGCAGGTCTGCAGCTAGGGTCCTGACAGTGCAGCTCTGGGCCCTGACAGTGCAGCTCTGGGTCCTGACAGTGCAGGTCTGGGTCCTGAAAGTACAGCTCTGCAGCCAGATCCCTCTTAACAGCAGAAATGCAAAAAGAAGGCCTTCTGAAACTTCATAGTCCAATATGGCTGCTATGCAAACAACTTAAAGTGAAACCTGTGTTGCTGTGCAGCTTATTTGCATTTCCTGTGTACAGCTTTATTCTCATAACTCTTTCCCACACTTATATAAATGTGTATCCTATGTTTCTTGAATTTTTATAAAACTCAAAAGAACAAATGTCCCTAACATACAAGTATGAAAACTCTAGCCTGTTTATTGAGTAAACATGTGGCAGATTCCTGGACTTAAAAATGGAAAATACGGTTTGATTAGTTTTGTTGTTCTTCTCAGATTCCTATTGTCTTCAGAGGTAATTGTAATGTAGGTTAAAGTTTAATAGCCACCTGGATATGTTCCAGTAAGCTCTTTAATGTGGGGGTTGTGACCCCAAATAAGCAACTAATTAAGGATGCACAGAGGGCTGACAGATGCAGCTGTTGGACTGACTCACCCTGTTAGAAAGTGGCAGGAAGTTGACGAAGCTGGCGATGGAAGCCACTTCCTTCATTAGGTTCTTAACAAGGTCCACATTAAACTCAAAGATTTCCACACACAGCAGCCGGTTCTCCAGGAAATCAAGCTCTGGAACATGCTAAAAAAAAAAACAAACGGAAAACAGCCAGAATTTATAAATAAAAAGTAAGCCTTTTTATTTATGTGTTCTGATATAATTGAATAGAAAGAAGGACTCACAGCATTGCTCCATTTCATCATCGCTCTGTACATGATTTCCTGAAATACATAAAATAACAGAAAGTGGGAAATAATTCTACCAAATCAGATTTGATCCAAAAACAACTGGAACCTTTAGCCCAACAATGTAAGTGTTTGGAAATGAAAGAAAAGTGGCTTGTTTTTATGTTAAGCCGTCTATGTTAGACCATAGACCAGGGGTGGGCAGTTCCAGCTCCAGGGGGGCCAGTATCCTGCAGGTTTTTGATCCATTTGGTCCAACATACCTGAATGGAATGGCTGAGTTGCCCCCTCAATAAGCAATCAGTTCCTCCAAAGTCCTCTAGGCAAATCTAAAAGCTGCCGGATTCCAGCCCTCAGGAGCTGGAATAGCCAACCCCTGCCACAGACAGTTCTCTGAAATATTTTCTACCAGTTTCCATACCTCACTGGGACTAGGACGAATGTCCTGTAGGACAAAGTGGACCGTAAGGACGCAGTCTCTAATAGAAACTGGCTTTTTGATATGATCCAGGACAAAACTGCAGCAAGCCTTCCGGTCGCAGAAAAACACAAAGGCCTAATGGTGAAGACAGCAAAGAGAAAAAACATCAAATGTTGATTCGGAGAGCTTCACCTCACATTCTGCACTTTTATCTCCAGCATATTAGTTTCCGGAACAAGTCATTTCTCATCCCTAAAGAGTAAAGTTTAGGACCTTTGATTTATTAAAGTCAAACTTTACAGTTTCTCAGAGTTTGTGTACAATCTATGTTTTTGTTTTCTGACAAAAATAAACCCAGACAGATATGTTATTTTAGGACTAGTTGTGATGTTTATGGATGATTAGGCAACATTTAAGTGAATGTGGTGTCTATTGATGTGACCTTTTCTCTAAAGGACTGTTAAACCTGTTGCCTGACTCATTCTATCGATAAGACTCTTTCCCACTGAAAATACCAGATTTAAGCGTGATTTTCAAACATGGGTGACCCGCTGACAATCAGCATTTGGCTCCCATTCTAGTGGCAAAAAAAAAAGCTGAGACTGACCCCTTGCTGGCAAGCTGTGTGGCCTCTGTCCCCCCCCTCTGTCGGCCTCTGGCTGCATGTCTGGTGACACCATCACACTGTGTTAGCATTGATCTCACAAATGCAACAGAAATCACTAAAAACTGAAGAGCACAATGTAAGGGACCCAAGGCATAGTCAGTGTGCATCTTTTCCGAATCTCTGTCACTCGCCATGTTCATCGAATGTATACAGAGTTATTTCAGCTTGTTAGATGAGATGTTGCTGGCACGATGTGTTGACCTCCATATGTTGTGTTCAATGGTATAATGTAATTTAGATGGTCAACCCTGCTCTTGAGCCGGCATGCCGATCAGAGCCGAGGGGATTTTAACGCGGGTGGCTTGCTGAGTCTTTTGACCGGGTAGACACGCGTCACTGAGCTGTTCCCACTGCCACTAGAAGCCAACTGTTCCCGGGGTTTAAACAGGTTTTTAAGCTAGTGGGAAAGGGGTAAAAGTCCCAGTTTTGTGGAGTTGTTACACAGTTATTTTAATTTGAAAGGGAATGTTCTCTGAGAAGGCAAAAGGATTAAAAAATCTTGTCATATATAACAGAATTTATTTCAAAGAAACATCATTAATACCAAGCTTACAAACCCAAAGGAAGCGTTACCGTTAAGAGCGCTGTACCATTCTGTGAGATCAGATAAAACGTGGCAGTCTAAACTATTTTCTGCCATCGATTCATTCCACAAAGCCACCTTACTACACTGCAAAAATAATCTAGAAATAAGTAAAAATTACTTCAATTAAGTGTAGTTACCCTTGATTTGAATAGGTAAATGAGATAGTTTTCCAATGGGATGAGTATTTTTAATCTTAAAATGAGATAATTTGATAGTATGCACTTGAAATGAAACAATGCAATTGGGTTTTCTTATTTTAAATCTAAATTGTCTTGTTCCATTTTCAAAATGTCTATATTATCTCCTCAATTAAAGAACAAATGCGCTTATTTTAAGAAAAAATTACTCTAGTATTTAAATTTTTTCCAGTGCATACATTCCTACTGCAAAAACATTTTTTATTATAAGGTAACAGTGTTGCTGTTGAAAATTCTATTTTTCAAGTAGTTATTTTAACACAGAATGCCCATAGAGAGAAAGAACTGAAGCAGTCTGCAAGAAATAAACAGCAGTACCTCAAAGAAACAAAGAAAAACAATGGCACTGAATGTCTCTTCCTTTTGCAAAACCTTTCCAAAGGAGCCTTTCCAGATAGATACTATGTGAATTTCAAACTGATCTATCAATCTGGCTTCAGCCAGCTTACAGGAATCAAGGAGCACCAGGATCTCCTTACCCTCCTCTGCAGTGGAAGGACCAAGATGTTGTAGTAGAGAGTCCTAAGGTTCTGTTCAGGGAAATAACATCCCACCACCTCCACTATGTCTTCATGCTTGTAGTTTCCTTCTGGTAAACCCGTCAACATTATGGTGCAGTGTGCAGAGCCTGGATGAGGTGTTGTCTATTGGAGGAGCAAAGTTCATATGTAAACATTTTAAGTTTAAAGTATGCAACATGTTTTTTTAAATAACGTCAAGTCAGGCATTGCACATGGGTGCATCTAAAGCACTCTACACCACACTAATGCAACAATAGCCGCTTATGCTACAGGAGGGTAAAGGCACACTATCTTGTGTTAGCATACCAGCAGTGGAGAGTGAGCCAGGAGTATTTAGCAAAACTTTTCATCACATATTTGTGCATTTAGGGCAAAATTTCACATATTTATTTCGCAGCTTTGAACTTAATTTTCCCCCCACATTGTGAGTTTAATAAATAGTCCCATTTGCTTCAATGTGTTGTACCATAACACATAAAAACTTTACCTGAAATCCAAGCTAATTACCTTGAATTTGGCATACTTGATCCCATAGAGAAGGAAAAGGTTCAACTTCATGCCATATGTGTAAATATATTTATATTTTGGGTGAATACCTTTCAGAAACTAACGTAAACCGTATTCAAACGACAAAAATCCGACATGTATATTAACTGCTTACCGTAAGGGCTTTCTTTCCACGGATCGTCAGAAAATCTAGGGGCAACAAAATTATTTAAAAAGAGTCAAAGATAGTTATGTAGACCGTAGTATTTCCAATATGTTTCTCTAACCTGGGATGTTGAACCAAGGGGAGGCAGTAGGGAAAACGTAGGGAATCGTTGTCATAGTTACCCAAAAGGGTGGATTGGTGCCTTGGGGGATGCCATATTTTGCGTCTGGCATTTCCGCCCCGGCAATGATCTCGTCTTCATCGGGCAGAGCATTCAGTGGCAGCTTTGGTGCTGCACGAACAAAACAAGGAAAGCAATTGGTTAGAATATAAATGGAGAGAGAATTAATTACCTAAACTAATATTCTGTTACAAAAAAAAAAACTGAACGATCAAGATACAACATCATGACTATGACAGTTTTCCTCACAGAGCATTCTTTCTTATCCAGAAATAATAAAAAAAAGAAACCCCAATAATTTGTTTGAAACTGAGTTTATGATTTCTAGGTTAAATTACTAATTTAACCGGAGACAGGAATAGATTTCTATGAGCTTTCTACACGCACTTCCACTTATAACAATTTAGTTTCATACCCTAAAAAGCTCTTAAAATGTTTACATTTGTTTCCACACTACTTGTATAAAACAAGCATTTCCTTACGCTGTGATTTCCTGTTGCTTCTCGGCAGCCTCAGCCTCTCCACCACGTGAGTAAACCCTACTTTCATGAGGCTGTACCAAATTCCCAGTCGATCAGCGTCATAAATGGAGTCGAATTCAATGAAAACCTGAAAACATAACGAAATGTTAAGAGGCTAGAAATCCTGTAGAAGGGATTTGAAACATGAACTACTGTAATGTTCATAACCTTGTTGAGCAGAGTCAGGAAGTTTCTGACAGATTTAATCCTCCCCAAAGCCTCTCTGACGTCGATGGTGTCACTTGGGGAGATGTTCTGGATGTAGATGGTGTTTGGTGCCTCGACTTTCTGCTCGAACAGCAGACAAGAAACAATTTAACAAAAAATGGAAACTGCTGCAGTTCTTTATCTCATGAGCTAAAATAAATTGTAGCAGAGAGTCTTAAATAACAGTTTTTATGCTTCTACTCATGACTTAGACATTTACACTAGGGCTACATCTAATTGATCACACAGGCCGTTTCTCAATATGTGTACTTGTGCATTCGCATGTGCTGGTGTTCTCCGAGGCTAACGGCAGCCAGGGCTAACGGCAGCCGGTCTGCAGCAGCCCTCTCTCGGCATAGCCATGTGTGACTCTGATAGCGAATTTTTAGTTTTATTTGGCAAAATGTTCATTTGATTTGTGTTTATCAGACTGTGTTAATTATTATTCCCCCACTAAATGAAAAAAGTAAGAATTTAATATTATCCAGAGACTATTCACAACAGGAGGTGAAATACATACTGACATGAGTCCGTACTCGCGCTCTAATGAATTGACAAACGGCATTAGTCTCCCCCCTTGATTTACATAATTTGTGGAAGGGTGCTAACGCTAGCCCGACTTGCTATCACCATGCCTGTCTCTACTCCACCAAAAGGGGCCAATCCAATAATCAGAGATTCACCTGCAGGCAGCCAGTAAGTGTTGCTGCTTCTGTAACTTTTTACTTTTTGTGTAAAAGACGAAGAAATGATGGTAAAAGAACCTTGGCAAATTGCTAATGTTGCTAACGTTACATGCCCAGATCCATCCACCACCGTGCCTGACAGATGATAAAATAACTGCACTGATCAACTTTTTTTGTTGTCTCCAACCACAACACGGTGCAGTTTTGCCTCAAATAAAATACTCTGAGTAAAATAATAAAATGTCTTTAGTTTTATTTTTTCCCTTGGCCACCGTGTCATTTATTTTAGNCATCTGTTTCTGCTCTGTGAATAAAAGACTCTGCTGTTCTGTTGGGGGTCAGATTGGTGCTGGGATGTGAGCAGCAGCCTTTCTCATTCCTGCAGGAAAAGCTCTGTTTAAAATAATCCTTTTGTGCTTCAGATTCATTTTTGTCCTATATGAAATATGAACTCACAATATTTTGAATCTAAAGCCAACAATCAGAGATTCACCTGCAGGCAGCCAGTAGCATTGCTGCTGGGTAACTTTTTAGTTTTTTTTTTAAAGACAAAGAAATGATGGTAAAAGAACCTTGGCAAAATGCTCATGTTGCCAACGTTACATGCACATGAACATGCATACACATGGTAAGTTGGCACATGTTCTCATGGTACTCTTGCTAGAAAATGGGGTATGGACATTTTTGTTCTCCTATAAAGGATTAAGCATGGATTTAAAGAAAATTTTAGAAGAATTGTACATGTAAAATACTAGGGGTGAGTATTGGTATTGGGTGTCGCAATACGATACGTGTCACAATGTTTGGGTCACGATATGATATCATCACAATATTGCAATATAATATATATCATATAATATACTGCAATAATTTTCCCAGCTATCAAAAAAGCAAGTGCTGTAAATGTTGATCAGAAGATATTGATCGTTTAGTTATTTTGGTATCCATGCTGTTTGGGGTTTGAAACAGCATGGAAGCAGTGACTCTCACTGTGACTGCCTCAGCAACAGATATGGTGCTGCTCCGGACAGCGAAAAGGCTCCACAGCACTATCTGCCAGAGAGGGGGTGTAGAGGTAGCCATTTTCCCGCAATGTTTTAAGTAAAAATGTTTGTGTTTTTTTTTTATCGATACAACTGAGGGATCGATATTACATCAGGTAGCAGAAAATCATGATATATCGCCAAATAAATTTTTTTCCCACAACCCTATAAAATACCAGGTTTTCACTTTTTTAAGAAGAATATAACAGCTTCCTGAAGGAGAGGAAGGTGTGAGAAACACATGGCAGCAAAAGAAGCCCAGATGGTGTCCCTTCACCACTGTGCTTGACAGATGATAAAATAACTTTTTTTGTTGTCTCCAAACACAACACGCTACAGTTTTGCCTCAAATAAAATACTCTATGAGTAAAATAATAAAATGTCTTTAGTTTTATTTTTTTCTCTTGGCCACCGTGTCATTTATTTTAGGCTTTATCCAATTGTTCATTGCTCAACCCTCACATTCTGGATAAACAAATTATTTATTTTTTAATCTCAAGAGAATATTTAAATCTTTCTTGAATGTTTGTCTTTCTAATTGTTTCAAAAACATTTGAAAGATCTATGCTGATGAAGATTCTCAGTCATCCAAGTCATAGTCATTCCGTAAAAGTTTAAAAAAAACAATCCACTGGACTTGGTTTCCAAGATTTGAAGACCTTTTGCTTCCCCTCCAGGAAGCTTTCTCAATTCTGAAACCTGTCTATGATTCACCGACCTTCAGAATCATAGACAGCTTTCAGATATTACAGGCTAACAATGTTAGAATCGTTAGAAATGAAACGTCTTCAAATCTTGGAAACCAAGTCCATTGGATTGTTTTTTAAACTTTTACGGAATTTGAAAGATCTTAAATTAGATTTTTATCTGGAGAGTTAAACCTACATAACTCACACATCTGTATTCCAACAAATGCAATTTCTGTAAAGACCAAACCAAAAGAAAAAGGCAGGGAACAATTCAATTCTTATGCTACTTACGAAGGACATTAGCGCCATGATTGATTTATAAAAGCCGAGCTGAAAGTAAAAAGAACAACAAAAGCAGAATAAACAACAGTCACTGTTCCTTAGAAGATAATTGCGGGAAAACTCCAAAAGATCCCTTGCAATTTAAATTAACATTACCATACTCACCGGTGTCATGAAAATGTTTTTCTTCACGATGAACAAACAAAGTTTATGTTTTTTGAAGATTAGATGGTTGTGCGCTGACGCCGAAATGAGTTCAATGACTGACCGCTCATTGGGCATCAGCACAAAAGCCTGAAAGGATCAAGAGTAAAAAGAAAAAAGCAGACAATCACTTTTACTTTTACAGGCAAAATATTTGGCAGTTATTTGTAATTACAATGCACCACTGGATTAGCCTTTGATTAAAGTCATTAAGAGTGATATTGGTGGCTGGGCGAATGCTGAAAACCAACAATAAACCATGTTTTGAGTTCAATAGAATTTAGATACAGGTTAAAAATGGCAAATTTTGCAGCGAAAACAACATTCCTAATAGTTGTTAAAATGTAATAGATTAATATCAACTGAACGTATGGGTGCAGAAGATTAAACATGGTTTCTCAGTTAATGTCTTAGGGGTTTCCCTTCTGCTTCACAACTGCCTTGAATAAAGGACATCATTAACAAGCTTTTGCAGCTCTAAAAGATATGCTGTGTGAATCCGCTGTATTAGAGACCCGTCTAAACTTTGTAAGGAATGTAAGAAATGATGACCAAGAAGCAATAAACACTAACATTAGATATATTTATGTAAATAAAATTTGAATTTTACTGCAGCAAGTAGCCAGAAATGACCAGAAAAATACGCCCTGGATTTATAACAGCACAGTGCTAAAACAAATAACTTAGATAACCCCAAAGTCTGAGTCATTTATGTTGCAAACAGGCATGTAGAAAAAAAAAGTTGAATACGTTTAATAAAAGTACAACAGTAGATAGATAAAATATATGGACAGAAAAATGAATAAAAGATATTCTACAACAGGTTGAGCTAATGCAGATAGAAAATCGATGGAGAAATAAAGCCAGGGGCTCACCATGCGGCCCTGAGGAAAGATGTAGATGTTATCATGCGCGTACTGAAAGCCAAATTTACAAAGCAGCGTCACAACTTCCTCCTCTGTGTAGCGACAGCTGTTGTACATCGGCAGGTTGGTTATCAACAGCAGCGTTGAGTCAACTGTTAAAGGCTGCGAGGAAATAAACATAACAACAGAGTAAAGGATTAATGCAATCCTCAGAAACTAGACCAATAATTCACAGCTATGAAAGCAGAAAATGTTCCTATTTTTTGTAGAAACCAAGTTAATTTAAATTCAGTGACTCGATTAAAAGAAAATATGAAAGGCAGATCCTAGTTTTATCCATCCATCTTTCTCCGCTTATCCGCGGTCGGGTCGCGGGGGCAGCAGCTTAAGTAATGAGGCCCAGACTTCCCTCTCCCCAGCCAC